GGGACTGGGGAGATGGCTCAGTAGAATAAGCTCGGGTCTGAGTTCAATCTCCAGTTCTGCAAAACAAAACAAAACAAAAAAAACAAACAAAAAAAAAAACCCCTCCCCCCAAAAACAATGGTAGCATGAAGAGTGTGCAGAAGAGACCTGGACTAAATGGCATCAACTCATTTCCATGAACATGGTAGCGATGAGAAGACAGATCCCCAAATACCCAACATCAAAATTGAAGGAAGGTAAGGTTTATTTCGCTCAGTTACTGGAGGTTTCAGGCCATACTCAGCAGACTCCAAGGCAGCCGGGCACAGTGCAGAGAGCAACCTTTCATGGAGCCTGCAAAGAGCAAGAGCACAAAAGGTGAGTAGCAGCAGCTCTGGCAGCTAGCTTCTCTTCCCACCTTTTATTATAATGCAAATTACCTGCTGCAGGGCAGGTGCAGCATCCACACCCACAGTAATCAGTCACAACCTCCAAAAGCTGCCCCATGACTTAATGAGGCTTTTGGGGGGACACCTGTACACAAACCTTAACCCTACATATATGAGCAAAGAAAAAACATTGCAATGGTTTTCTAACTACTTCCCATGATTTTCAAATTTCCTTTCTAAGTGAACCTTTTAGCTTTTTTCCTACATTTTTTATTGGTGCACATTGGTTAGACACACTAATGGGTCTTACTTTGGCAGATTTGTACGTGGACACAGCAGACTTTAATCATTAGCCTGGAGCCTCCCTTCCCTAACCCTTCCTGTTATTTCACATTTTGGGGAATTTCATTGTGTATGATACATTTTGATTATAGTCATCCCATTTGCTTTCTTAAAGATTAGTTTTGCCATTTTATTACAAAATGCTTTCATTTTACTTTCTTTTTGCTGGAGGGTAGATTCCTTTTTTTCAAAGTAAAGCAGGTCTACAGTTTCTTATATGAATTTCAAAAATCTCTAAAAATTGTAAGTTTTTCATAACTCATTTGGAAACCTGACTTCAACTGATACAAAGATATTTATGGACTTTATCCCACTGTAATATGAATATTTTATCACAGAAGTATTAGTGTATTTGATTCTGGTCTCTATACCCAAACTCACAAATTGTTACATAATGTAAAGCATATGCCCATATATCTTTTTAAAAAGAAATCTTTTATTTATTTATTTGGTACAAGGTCTCGCTGTGTGGCTCGGACTCATAGTGATCCTCCTGTCTCAGCCTCCCTAGTGCTGGGATTACACGCCTGTGCCACCACACCCAGTCTTGGTGGCTGGGTCGGCACCTAGGGTTCTGGGGCTGGCACTGCATGCTGTACTGGGGATAGAACCCAGGTCCTTGCACTTGCCAGGCAGGCACTTAGACTGCTGAGCAGTCTCTCTGGCCCCATTCATATTATCTTTCAAAACCAAAAAGTCTGAATATCAAACAGATCAGACCAACTGAAAAAATTTCAGGAAAGTGTCTGTAGATCTGTTAGCCAGCTCACAAACAAGACCCAAATTTAATCCACATAGATAATTTCCAAAGCATACTTTTCTGGTCCTTAGTTTTCTAAATAAATATTTTTCCCCTAATATCCATTTATATCATGATACATTTTAACCTAACCTATTTAATCCTTTTAAAAAATTTAACCTTTGTCTTGAGTTTCTCATTAGTAAAATGGAGATGGTAGTTTCTCTTTAATAAAATCTTTGTGAAGACTGAATTTGGCCAAATAACTCAGTGGATTAAAGCACCTGCTTAGGTAGATGCAGGGGCTAGGAGTTCGATCCATGGGCCTACCATGCTGAACCCAGGCCCAGGGCGATTGTGACTGGGCACGGTGGTTCATGTCTGTAATCCCAGAACTTGGGAGGCTGTAAACAGGAGAATCACTACTAGTCTGATCTATGCACTGAGGCCCTGTAGACCCTGTAGATCCTGTCCTAAAATAAAAAAATAAAAAAAATAAAAAATCTGTGTACGGTGCTCAATTTCATATATGCCACTAGGTGGCATCTTTGTAAAAGTATAGTATAAGAATGTTAAAATAAGATTAATTTATCAATACATCCTGAGGTAGACGTTTCTTGACAAAGATAAACCATTTGGATAATGCAGTCTGAGCAAATGCGCAAATGCATAAATTTAGGGTGGAAAGTAAAATGGAAAATGATAGCAAACTGTGTGAAATATGGTCGTAGAGAGGGTATCAAGGCACACTTAGTGCCAGGAGTATTTGGAAGTCTCTCCTCACTTTTCTTCTCTATTTCTTGCCTCTATTTGTAACCCTGTTTTCCTACTGTACCTACCATGAAGGACAGTGACAGGCAAATTTTAAAGAGGAGACTCATCAATCCCTGGTTCTGCCTAAATAAATAAATAAATAAATAGGAGACCCAGAAAAGTGGGAATTAAGATGGATGGGATTTCTTATTATTAATAAGTTTCCAGATGCATTATGATTTTGGCAACAGGAGTGGGTGTTTGCAGAAACTTTTCTGCACACCTTGATACCAGGTCTACCCCGAAGTTAGTGCTAATGATCATCTCTGTAACCTTTTTCCTTTGCTTTTCCTGAATGTATAGAAAGGGAATAAAATTTAAGCATTTGCTTCTCTTAAAATCATTACTAAAACAAAGCCAATTTTATCTGAGAATATAATATGCTTTCCATATTGTTCTAACAGGCATTTAAAATAGGATGACTAGGGGCCAGGGAGATGGCTCAGTAGAATAAGTGCTTCCCTGGCAAGCGCAAGGGTCTGAGTTCAATCCCCAGTTCCACCAAAAAATAAA